AAAAGATGGCCGGTCAGAACCGGGCATTCACATAGCATCCGCATAATCGAGGATTTTGCACCAGAAAAGGAGCCGACAGCCCCGGCTTCTTTAAGTTCGATCGCCCAAACAATTTTTATCTTATTTTTTATTTTGTAAAATTTAGATTAAAAACATTTTTTTTTATTCCATGCAGAAATATCAGATTAAATAACTGGCAAATTCGACAGAACCTGGAAGGTGCAAATAAACATGAAAAAACTGGTTGAATTCTAAAATTAAATTTTTTCTAAAATTTGATGATCTCTTGACTGACGTATAACGTTGTTCTAAACGCTGTGTTAATTTTCAATCCTTTCAGTCCTCGTCTATTAAGTATATATAAGTATTCTGGACAATAAAGAACATTTTAAAGATTTTTTAAATTGAAAAGAAATTACCGTAGCGATGTGGACGGTAATTTCTTCATTCGCCATGAAAACGCTTAAATATGGCAATAAAATGTATGCGGCGCTGCGCGCGCAAAGCAAATGGTGGAATAAAGAGAGATAAAGAGAAAAAGGGGAAGGGGGAGGGGAGAGAAGAGAGAGAGTAGAAAGAACAAGAGCGCGATTTCTTGCAGTCGTTTATTTTAATTTCGCGTCCCCTTTGTTTTGCTCAAATATGCCGCTCTCATTCCTCCTCGATTTTTTATCCACCAATCGTTGGGCGCTCTAATTGTGCAACTATTTATTGTTGCAGTCTACAGACGACAGAACAGGCACGCGGCAATGTTGCACACACATTTAGAACACTAAGAACCACTCAAGAAAAGATTCTCAAGTTCCTTTTCTTGTCAATATTAAATCAAACGTCACATCCGGACATTGTATCAATTAAAAAAGAATGTTTCTCACGCGCGTGATGATATGAAAGTTTCATTATACGTAAAGAAAAATTGTACGACGCCGAGGTCAATTAAAGACTGATTAGTTGAAGGCACGGTATCCAACAGTGATATCAATTCGAACACGTGACTCACTTCGCGGGATTCGCAAGCGCGAGTCTCGGCGTCGAGAGATGAAGATAAGTCGATCCTCGGTCGGTCGAGATGAAAGCGTCGCGTTCCGGGGCGTCCGACACCTTGTTAAACGAGTCGGAGCACGCGGCGCCCCTCAGAGAAAACGACTATTTGTTAGGAGCGGTCTTGTCCCTTACAATGATGCCGTCAACCCACGGATCTCTTCCTTAGTTTTAACAAAATCGAACGAGTCAATCACGCGCTGTGCGACCTGCGCAGCTGTAAGTGCACTTTCAAAACACAATAATGATAGCAAATATAAAGGTGACAACTATACAAGTTTAATTTATCACGCCAGACAGTGTCTGGGGTTATAAATTAATAATAGAAAAATTACTCGTATGTATAAAATAATACATAAAAATAAAATAAGGCTTGAAAACATACTATCTTATATATATTTAACAATAAATAAATTTTAATAACTTATAACATCTAATTTTTGCTCGTTTCTTGTATTTTATTAATAATTATTTTCACTAAAAAAAAGCTATAGTGTTTATTTGTATATACATATATATAAATTGATTCATTTCTGTTTAGTGATTAATTGTTTAAGTATATCCTAATACAAGGAAGTCGGTGAAATAGATAGAAATGTACATATATCAACTGAAATCAGGGCTAAAACGAAGAGGGAACGAATTTCGAGATTTCGAGACCGCCCTATCACAGCATTCGAAGGATCCGGTGGAGCAGGAGGAATTCGAACGCTCTCGGTGTTGCCATGGCAATTAATTACCTTCATCCCTCCTAGGCCGTAGGTGTGATTATAACGGGTGTGCCAATCGGAAGATATCGGGAATCCGTCTGCTCTGGGGAACGCGCAATAAATACGATAATTACGTAGAGATTATCGCCCGATGCAAATTAGCTCGTTTCGTGTGACGATAAGTTCGGCACATACCTGAATTTACTACCGATCTCATTTCCGTATAATATACGATTTGCTTCCATTCATATTCTGCGTTATTTTTCTAAATGTACAATTTATTGTTATCGTAATAACATAAATGGGTTATACAGGTACAATATTAGTTACAGAAATTCAAAAATTTTATTTTCCTAATCTTTTAAAATGTATTAGGTATACAAAAGTTTTAGTACTTTTTTCAACTGGTATAATTATTTTAAATTGAAATAATTTATCATCTTTCCATATATTTTTAAGAATTATAAAAAATTATCTGAAACGCTATATTTTATTAAAAATTAAAAATGAGGAATGAATTAATGAGGGCGAAGCGCTGTAAACGTTACGCAAATTCTATATGTATAACTTCTATTTATTTTGGATGTTTCGAGTCATCTTCAGCAGAAATCCATAGTTGGAAATTACAATATATTACGTTGAATTCTTAGCGAGAGAATGCTAAAACTTTTACATATCCTTAATATTTATGAAAGATAAGCTATTGCGATAAGTTAAGATAAAAAATAAAGACAATGTGTATTCTGTAATTTATTTAACACATTTCCAATTTTATGTAAGAATGAAAAAGTGGAAGGTATAATAATATAACGAAATACTTGTTTGCGTGACGTCAACAAATGGAACTTCTCTCTTCGCAAGAGAACTATTTAGGGTTGAAAGGACTATTTCCTTGGTCGGACGACAATAGCTCTGGCAAACCGAAAATTAGGCGAGAAGAAGGGACAGATGCGAAAATGGTAAGAGGAATAGCTAGTGTTCTGGTTGGATGTCGCTATCAGTTGCACTATTATCTGAACGTATTTTTCTTGTAGCTTCACATCTTCATGAATTGACTAGTTCAAAACAGACAAATTCAGAGCAAGATAAAGATAAAATAAGGAAGAAAAAGGATTATTTATTTTAGTTTGAGATCACAGTGTTATAAAGTCATAGAGTAAAATTCGTAATTATAAATGTTTTTCATAGCCTAAATCATCATAAATACAAATAATTAATTTTGCATTTTTATTTATAAATTGCTCAAGTATTAAATATTCTAAAAATATATTTTTAAAACGTGTGCACTTCGACGTATTACAGGATGTGTGTTTCAGTTTTATTTAATTCTTTTCTCTCTCTCTCTCTCTCCTAAATTTTCTGAATTAAATTTATCCAACAAATTAATCTGAAATTCAAGGATTCAGAATATTGTAAATTTATTTTATAAAGCAATTATACCTCGAGATGACAATGACTCGGCTGCGTGGGCGATCTTATTTGTTTTATATATATATGTATGATACATACAAAATGTTGTATTTATGGTCGTTGTTTTAGCATTCATAAGATCAGGTCGCAAGCAGGTAACAGCTCCATAAATTGTCGCATTACCATTCGAAACGTATGATAGATTCTAAGAAAAAATGCTGAAAGATCATTTTCTATAAACAGCGATTGTCAGCACGCATGTATAATCAACCTTTGCAATTGATTTTTAGACCGGTATTTATAGTCAATTATTATATTTAAGATCGTTTAAGTATAGTCTTAAAATGACATAAACCAATCAGAGAGCTGTGTTATTATCTTAAAGCATTACTTAAGACGGTCTTGAAATAAAAACGAACTGTAAATATCGGTCTTAAATTTCTCGATGCTCGATGATTATTTTGCGAATACGATTATTTATGCGAATCTATAGTACGAGTTATTTAAATATCAATGTAATAAAAAAAACAAAATATAATTTTATTATAAATAGCTTTACTGGGTAATAATACTTGAAATCGAATCTCACATTATTCTTTGAATTTTGAAAAATGTTTTGATTGTACTATATCAGCTAAAAATATCAACCAAAAAATCAGCCAAAAAACCAATATCAGCTAACAAATTTTGGTTGTGAGTACGCTCTGAAACCAGCTACAAAAAGCAAAATAACAAATAATTTACTATGAAATGGCTTATGTAGTACAATGACTATATTTTGTTGCAATTTTAGATAAATAACTTTTAAACGAGTGGATTCAAATGAACTTTTGTATGTATATTAGAATTAGAATTTTATTAATATATATGTATAAAAATTTGATTTAATTCGTAATGTTATTTCATATATAAGAGTGTGTAGGCAAAAAATTAAATACTTTTAAAATTTTTAACCGATAAGAGAATTGTGCTTAAATTTTACATAGAGATACTTATACGCGTAATAATTGAACATGAAATTACTTACACTTTTGATAGTATTTTAAGAAGTGACACATTTATTTCTAATTTAAATAATATGTGAATTGTCAAAAAGTATGACTTATAAATAAGAGACAATGATCGTGATATAGCGGTTGTATTTTACAGAATGAATATAATAATCTCTCTCTTCTCTTTCGCAAGATTAATGGATCAGGAATATAACTGCATAGACAACATACTCAATTGTATATTTTCAAATAATCAATCGCATCTTAACCATTAACTTGGCTCGTGGAATATTGTGATATCATCGTAAAATCATCAATATTATTTTCACGTAACTCTGCAAACATGAAACAAGTCGTCTCTGAGTTAATCATCAACGTCGTAGTTAATTAGTAAGTCTTTACCTGATGCAATCGCATCGACATTAATATTATTTCGACATTTGTTGATCGTGTAACGTTGATTCGGCGTCCGTATGTTGGCTATTATTATGTTATCCGTGTATTTATTCGCGATGTAGTTATACTTTGCTCAATAAATTTATCACCACGTGTAATCTGCCGAGCAACCACCGTATTTTCGGATATATTTATAGTCTTAATTTTCATATATATAAATTTATTTGAATATTCGTGATACGCGAAACAGTAAATACTTTAATAAAACCTACTGTAGGTATATTATCAATTTGAAGTGCGAAAGGTATGTATGTATGTATACATACTACATAAAGTATGACTAGAAGCAAAAGCATTTTGCCGCGGCACTCTGGCGCGATAGCGCGTGAAGTTGGCCGTGCAATCTTCGAATCTCTCTCGTTCGTTCTGCTAATTTGCCAGATGTCGCGAGTCTCGAAAGGATCTTAACCTTTTTCGCGCTATTCTTTTATTGTGATTAAATGTACGCATGTATAATTAATATTGGGAGTACCATATAAAGTACCGCGGGATCATAATTAACCATCTTTTCTGTGAACAAGTATTGTGTGAGAGTGAAAGAGCAGTGATGAAGGAAATTAGGTGGAGGATCTGCGCACCGGTGAGTCATTTCTTATTTTAATTCCAAGAGTAATGGAATCGTTATAACTACAAAATAATAACATCTCACAGATCACATCGTCCACGATTGCCACGTTTGTGTATACAAATCTGTCCGTTACAATGGCTAGTTACAAAAGTTCTACCGCTAATAATTATCGTGACATGCCGAGGAAAGGTTTGTTTGACGCGCGTAATGTTCATCTGCATCTTTCTCTTTCTCGCAATCGGCAATCAGCACGGTACGTTCACGTAGTTGCAGCGCGGCATAAAATCATAATCCAATTTGTCCGAGAAGACCGCGATGGATGCGGGTAGGTCAATGAAGTCGTCGCACCTCCGGCCGGACCGAACGTTTAATCATCATAAATTTTGCGAGAAACCGCAAACCGGCTTCTCCCCGCAGTGCGAAGGAACGGATGCGATACGCGCCACCTCGCAGCCACCTGCGAGGATCTCTCTCGAGACTTGCGTGAACTTTCAGGTATTAAGATCCAAAAGCTGGAACAGGAACACTCTCTAATACATAGAATATGTTTTCCGTGTAGTTCACATTTAAATTAGAGTAGCGTCTTACACCGCGAGTAAATTTTTCTTAAAGAATAAAATATATAATATCCACTTTTATGAGCAAAATTCTACATCCTATTTCTTCATAGAAACCAAAACGCTTTTTTGAAAATAAACTATTGTTCTTCTTAAATAAGTTAATATTATCGAAAGTTAGAATGCATCAACGGTTATGGCTGTAAAGATATGTCCAATTTACGGTTATCACTACCAAATGTATTGATGGGCAAAAGTCATCATTATTTCCGGTTATGTTACGGTACAACCGTAACATTCTTTCTGTACGTCTACAGTATTTTGATGCTTCAGTTTAACAAGAGAAATATTAGTTTATTGAAAATGTAATATTATACAGAGCTAGAGACTTATGTGATATATCTTGCCAGTTTGTTTATTCTCTGTTTCTCAATTTTCCTTATCGTCACGTCAAACGCAACTTGCTGCGATTTTATACGAGGCGTGTTGCGTGTTCCGCCTATTGTGCACGTAAGAGCTCATTGACTTTATTGGAACGCGTTCTCCGAAGCGTTTCGCCATCGCCATGGTGGTGTCATAAATTTCGCGGGGCTGCTGCGACGAATTATTAGCGCGCGATGGCGGCGAGTTCCGCGGGACGATTTCTCGAAAGAGAGTTCTCGCTCTCGTCCGTCCGAGGGATTGGAGTCGAGGCCCCCGTATCAATCTAAATTACAAATTCCATCGAACAATGGCGTGAGTGGAGGGAGGACCTCCGGCCGTTAATGCGAGCGGCCGAGAGGGAGATTGTGCTCGAGCTGGCCGAGTGTGGAGCGCATTAACTTAATTTATTTGCCCTTTATTCGGCCGTCAGTCGCGCCGCCAGACGTCGACTGACGGTGCCACTTAACACGAGAACGATTCGGACACTTTGTGAACTATTCAGAAGAATAGTTTTATTTACGAGTGCGAGTGCTGCGAATTGTGCTGGACGCGTAACTTAAAACCGTTGAAATTATTGATTGAAATCAATTCCCATTGAAAAATAACATGACGTGATGTTTGAAATTAATTTAGATTACAATTTCTCCAAAAGATCAATTTCAATTGCGTTTATACATTGAAAGATTATTTTCATCATTCGAAATATTTATTCAAAAGAGAAAAAGCCGTTGCGGAATTAAACAAAGTTATATTTAAAGTATTACACTTTGATTTGGGGGGGAGGGAGGTATTATAAAATATTGAAGCCACAATACTATAAATGATACGATGAAATTATTTTAAAATACTGACATCGATAAGCGCGAAAGTAAAGTTTACCAAAAGAAATCGAGAAAACAAAAAAAGTTTGGCTATATACAATCCTCGAAAACATAGAGTTGATGGGGCAATAAATTCTATAGACGACAAAGTTCACGGTAACCGCGATAGACCGACCCTAAGTACGGGATTGTAGTTCGAACCGAGTTCGTATTAAGTTTTCGAGGGATGTAAAGCGTGATCGTAACAAGGGGTGACTTTCCTATGATTTTGGGACGAGACCACCAACACCAGCAACCGTCAGGACGCGTCCGTGAAACGGGGTGGTTTCAACCGTTATTGCGCCCCACCGACAAAAATTATATTTGGATTACAAGCATTATCGCCCCGAACTAAACTTGACTTTTATGACAGCGGAATCGTTTCGGGGGTTTGCACTCTGCCGATTTGCTATTCATTCAATCGGAAATTAGGCCAATAATTGTCACAGATTTTCGTAAACGATATTATATTTTGATCTTTCCTATAACAAATTATTTATTAATAATTTTTGAATTATTAATAAATAATGGAGCTTTTTTATGACAACTCTCTGTAACAATGGATTTAAAATGATAACAAATTTATATCTGTATCTAAATTATTTTCGAATTCCTATCATTTTATAAGCTTTATTTAAAAAATAATATTTTTTATAATTAATTGAACTAAGGAATTGTATAATTTTACGCGATATATCATTCCTTCAATTTTTCTGCATATGAAAGTACTAAGATACAAATATCAGAAAATCAATAGTTTACGAAATATTTTATACTTTATTCTGGCATATATTGATATAAAACCAGTTAAATAATTTATAAACTATTAATCTTTTTATAATTTTATCTTAATACTTTGATGAACAGAATAATGAGATAAATCAATTGATGTAAAGAAAACACATAGTTGCTTATTAAAAAAATTATGCATTTTGCAGACATAATTTTTTTTAAAGCAATTATGCATTTTCTTTGCACCATTAATTCATTTCATTATTCTGTTCAGAAAAGTATTAAGGTAAAAATTAATAGTTTACGAAATATATAACTTAATGTCAATAGCAATAATCTGTCTAATTGAAAAAAATGCAATTTAAACTAATAAAAAACAGAAAAATAAAAACAGATTTCAGTTTTTCTGATAAAATAAAACAATTAGATGAATTGTTGAAAATGTCTGCCTTTCGCCGTGATATATCATTCTTCTTCTCAAAGAGTGACGTACACGTTCAACATTGTGTATGGTTGTGCGAATGGTAACTCACGTGAAGCAATACGTATTTATGCAGAAAGATATTCCCAACGCAATTTACCATGTCAAACATTTATGAACATTTACCTGTATTTTGGAAACTAAGCCGTTTAGGACATATATTTTTTTTATAAACGTTTTACTTGGAAGTTGGAATAAGTCAAAGATTGTCCCTTTGAGTATGGCAATGTACTTGAGGAACACCCTGTATATATGTATATCCAGTCCTGTAAACTGCGTGCCAATTTTTAATTCTGAAAAGACGCAATCAAATTGATAAACTGAAAGTGTGAGATAATAAAATATCTTAAATTAAATTAACCAACAGTTTAATAATATTGATGCTAACAATCATTTTAAAACGTAATTATAAAGATTATATAGCGCGAAAAAAATTAATTTGATATTAATTATCTACAGATCTCCTGAGGATCCGCCAGTAAAAATGATTCTGCGACACTCATACTGATGACGCGTTCACTTAATACCGAATGTCGATTAGGTCCGCGATTTCCATCCTTCGCGCGAATTCATTTCCCTATTATTTCGCGACGTCGCCCAGGTGATATATGAATTGTTTGGTACGAGAACGCACGCGCGAATTGTCCTAAATATCCATCGAGCCTCTCCTCGGGGTGTTGAAGCGAGTCGCGTGCCGGGCATCCATCATCCCTTTAAAAGGGCCGCCGAAGGGAGAGAAAGCCGATCCGCTAAACGTTGTCAAAACGTTGACGAAGTCACGTGCGAGGTCGAAGAAACGCCCGTTGATCGACGAGCGCGCCTTCGGAAATTTTATCCTCTCTTCTCGAGGATGCATCGTGTTCTAAAATTTCCGTTCGAAGACCGAGGGTTACTGTGAGAATGGAGACTTATATTGGTATAATAGAGACACTGCGTGATTATTGATATCTTTTGAAATTTAAAATAATAACACTGATTTTCATAGTTTTCTGTTCCTCAACATCTGAATGATTGTTATGTACTTTTTAACTGCGGAAAAGGAATGTAAGGTTAAAAAGATTGCATCGTGCATAGATTTTGAGAAATCAAGGACTTAATTTTTGAAAAACTACAAATTTAAATAATTTACAACTCTTTTCTTCTATTTTATGGAATGAAATATAAAAGAATCGAGAAATTTTTTCTTTTATTCTACAAAGTAAAGTACAAAAGAATTAAGAAAGGGGTTGTAAATTACTCGAATTTATAAAATAAAAAAAAATTAAAGTCTTTGATTTCTTAAAATCCATAGATTTTATATCAGTGTAACTTCTTGACATTAAAAAATATTGTCAATGTATCTTATTATTTTAATATATCACGTAAAATCATATACAAAACAATAAAAGAGGCTTTATAAAATTTAATTTCAGATAAAAAAAATTTTTTATTTCTTTGTATATTACATATATTAGCTGCAATTTGCGTTATTACATAGGAAATTCAAAGCGGTTTCTAAAAATTGGAGGGTAAAATTGGAATATTTGGATAAACGTGTCCTTTTTTAACATAAAAAGCTCTACTTACTTGTTTAGAAACAAAACATTGATAGAAATTTGTTGTTCAGTATAACTGCTAGACATTTTTGCGCATTCTTCTGAATTAGGAGTAAGAAAATCGAGTGAGATTAATTTACAAATGTGTAATAAGCAGTATATTCTGCAATCCTTCTGTCTCTGGCTGGAGATAACAAAGTGGAATTTAATTCAGACGACTTTGGGTGGCTGTCTGAGGCTGTCCGACCCAAACAGACTCTCTCGTTCGGCGCATTGGCAGTGATTTAAAATGATACGCGCTGCAGGTTGGCGTGCCTGCCCGGCGCGCTTCGGGTCATCCCAAGAGTGCTGTACCTCACAGTCAGCCGCCTCCGGTTTCATGCGACGCGATTAAAAAGCTTCCGCTTCGGGCGCTGCGGATGGAACCGCGAATTTATCAGCCCGCGAGACAGGTCGTCCCCGGAAACGATCGTTTCGCCCGAGTCGGGTTATTTCGTATTATATATTATGTATTATACGATCATAGAAGGGGCATGTCCCACGCCTGAACGACCATTAATGATTCCCGAGGTCGACCTCACTTCCTTCGATAGCGGCGTCTTGAAGTCTGTCACGGTCACACAGAGAGCCAGTTGCGCGCGCTCTGATATCTCGCTTTCATCCCTCTCCCGTCCTCGTCTTCCACCCGCTGCTGCTCTCCTTCATCGAGGGATATTAATTATGCTTGACGATAATGACCGCGCGCGAGCAACGAATCCGTTAATTGGCCGGCAGATAGCCGGCTGCCGGCTTCCTAGTGCGAGAGACAAGTGTGCCGATTGATAGGGCGGAAATAGATCGCGGCGGAACTTTAAATCGGAACGGCGAATTCACGACTTTCCACGCGGATGATTTATGTTTCCTCCTAGAGCGAAGAGTCGCGGCCTAGTTTGCATCGCTGGAGCGATGCGTCGCTAATCGATATCGTTCTGTAATTTTCCAATGAGCCCATTTTGTTGAATCGCTAACAGAAAGCAATTTCTTGATGTTTAGCATTTTTTTTTTTTAGAGCATCGACGATTTCATATAAAAGATTTCAATAGGAAAGATATACATATATAATACGTAGGGAAAATGGATGCGGAAAATAATTCAATCGTTGCCAGATTTTGATATACAATGTTAAAATGAGCATTATAATAATTAATCGGTTTTAGGGAAATAAATCTGGCTCATCTAACGTATAAGATGCTCGCATCAATCACAAGCGATTGCCACATAATAATTTTGCAACTGTTGCATTGAAAGTTTGTTGAAAGCAACCGTAGATTGAAGAAGCTTGACACAGTTAGACTAATGTCGAATATTTCTTGCGATTAGGAAATTATCAGCGGATTAGAACATAATCGTAAATCATATGTACTAAGAAAAAAAATTGTTACAATTACTAATAATAATTTAATTATAATTTGTAGTTGTTTTCGGTGCCAACTATATATTTTTTGATAAAACTATAAATATAATTACTATATCACTAACAATAATAATTATAAAAATGAAAGTTCGGATCATAAATACTTCACTGCGTATGTACTTATAATCAGAGTTACTTATCTTATTAGTATACTTGCGAAAGAACAACCTTTGTTATACCATCTTATACTATTTCAATATAGTTCTTTACAGATTCTAATTAAATTTGAATGGAATATTAGTATTCCAGATTGATTATGTGTTGAAAGTCCAAAAGTAACCGTCGTAATGATATTTTTAAGATGAATTTATTAAAAAAATACATACACGGTAAAAAAAGTTGTGTATTTGTGTTGGAAACGATTCACTCACATTCTACTGTTAACAGTTTGTGTGTGGAATTTTTTTAACATCTTCTAATCTTATTATTGTTTATACTATTTCATTTCAGACGTTTTTATTTTTCGTATCTCCTCGATCATATTTTTGTAACATCGTTATTTTCGGGAGAATTTGCGAGATAGAGAAGAAAGTGATAAAGAAGAGATATCGGCTGGTTTGAGGGGGGGGGGGGGGGGCGAGAGAGAGAGATCAGATAGAGTGGTATACAGTGTTGTAGCGGGATCGCGAAAAGAGCAACAAATCCAGTGGCTTTATCGGCCATCGCCGGTGTAATCCTATAGGTGCTTAGCGTGAAATCCCATAATCGATAGTTTGCTTAACCCGATGCCACGTGGCGCCGCGTGCGGGTCTCCATTAGAGCGGGCTACGCACACCTTTAATGCAAAGTATGTGCGCGCGTTACGTTGCGAGAGAAAGAGAGAAAAGCGCAAAGCTTATATAGGGTGACCGTATCTCTATGTTAATATGGGAATGTGGACCCACGGTGGCCCATGGGGGAATTCGATACGCTCCGCGCGACACATCTGTGTGGACTGTGGACGCGGCTTTCCCGCGGCTGACTTAATTACCGGAGTCTAACGAGCTTCCCTGGCGGAAAATTTTCTTCTCCGCGAAGTCAAACCTTTGATTTTTCTTTCTCCACCGAAGACAAACTGGTGCAGCGCTTACGAAAGTTCGATGATACCACGCGATGGTTTATAGTCGAGCGGAAAAATTGAGATCCAAGTGGGCTCAAAGAAGGTTCGTACAGAGAGTCTTTCAGTAATGTTGAAATATAAACATTTTAGAATTGTAAAAATAAAAATAATAGAGAGCGAAAGAGAGATGAAAGATCTTTGAGTGTATTAATTGATTAGCAGAACCCTAAAAGGAAGTAATACAC